GACTTTTGCCAATCGTCAAATATTAATTGTTTATAGGTAGTTAGCTTCACCGATAATCAAAAATATATGGTTTTCCAATTGCTTTCATATATTTCTTGACAATTTTCAGCTATGACATGTTCGCCCCAGATTACATATACGTTAGGGTTCGTTATATAAAAAACGCTTTTTTCTTCATGTTCATTGAGTCGCTCTGAATTCCATTTCTGCTCAAAATACTACATTACTTCCAACCCAAAACTCCCCAGGTTAAATCAAAAATATAACCGAATAAGGTAACGCAAGGCAAACGCGATAGTACATCAAACACCATATTTTTATGGTGAAGTTAACTAAGGAGCTCATATAACTACTGTCATAATTGAAATAGGGTGTCCCACTAATTACAGCAGATATTTGTAGAGGTGAAAGATTATGTGATGAAACTTTTATACATACAGTTAGTAACTTCACTTTAACGCGGTCAATAGAACCCAGAGGGTCCCGCGTATGAACAACAGAACATATGGGATTAATTCCAATAGAAACCGCCCGACCCCCAAACTCCACTTTTGAAGACACATAACTATGTTGTAGTAAAAATAACATCTTAATTTTATGATGGTACATGCACACAATTAATACTTAAGAGAAATAGAGAAATACAGTCGCCAAGTTAATGTCCATTCAAATAATGGACTCAACTCCTCCCCTCTTCTCACACTAACACTGCCGCCTCTTCCCTCTCTGAGAAATTTTGGGGAAAACTACTAAATTTTAATAAATAATACCTCAAACTAAAGTTAGATAATACAATTGACATTGCTGGATTCTCAGGTGATTAGGAATATTTTGAATATAAATGTCATATATTGCACAAAAGATAACATATTTACTCAGATTAAACATTTTATCTAAAATTTGTATGTCTAATGCAAAATATATGATGTTTATATTCAAAATGATCACCAAATTATAAGAATTCCAGCAATGTAAATTATATTCTGACCGTAATTTGTATGAATTTTATGAGCTAAAACAAATATCTTCAGTTAATAAAAAAAAAATATTCTTCACACACATATCTGTCAATCAGTACCACCTTGCCTCCTCTTCCAACCGGCCAACCTCCCCCACCCCCACCAATCCTCCTTCAAGAGAAAGGGTGGTGAAAAAATAAATTTTAAATTTTGTATTAATTAAATACCTCAGATAGTTAGGATAATATAATTGACATTGCTGGATTCCTTGTAAGACCAGGAATATTTTGAATATAAATGTCATATATTTTGCACAAAAGATAACATATTTACTCAGAAAACATTTTATCTAAAATTTGTATGTCTAATGCAAAATATATGATGTTTATATTCAAAATGATCACCAAATTATAAGAATTCCAGCAATGTAAATTATATTCTGACCGGTAATTGTATGAATTTTATGAGCTAAAACAAATATCTTCAGTTAATAAAAAAATATTCTTCACAGGGTAACAGATGGTCGGTCGGTCCTCTCCTCCTCCCCCCCACCCCCCCACCCCCCACCAACCGTCCCAAGGAGATGTGTGGGAAACCAGAATATTTTAACTTTTTGTAATAAATAATACCTCAAACTAAAGTTAGGATAATATAATTGACATTGCTGGATTCCTTGTAAGACCAGGAATATTTTGAATATAAATGTCATATATTTTGCACAAAAGATAACATATTTACTCAGAGAAAAAATTTTATCTAAAATTTGTATGTCTAATGCAAAATATATGATGTTTATATTCAAAATGATCACCAAATTATAAGAATTCCAGCAATGTAAATTATATTCTGGCCGGGTAATTTGTATGAATTTTATGAGCTAAAACAGGCAGTCAGGCAGGGTGGCGGGTGGGCAAACAAAAATAGCGTCTGGGAGCCGACACTCACTGCGTATATGTGAAAAAAATCCGTGTTAAGTGAAAGTTCACTTGGCGAGGCACCGCGATATGAAAAAATGCGTTATGAAACCGCTAGGCGGGTAATACTGTATATGGATTTTTCGGTTTATTAGCCGTGAGGTGGATTTTACAATTACGTAAGGCAACCATTACAAATGGCAGAGTCGAGGCGGGAGAGATACCGAAGCATGAGAAGGAAATATAGGAAAGGGGAAGAAGGTTTAGTAGTGAAAGAATGTGGGTTAAACCGAACAGACTTTAGGATGAGAGAAAGTGTGTGGCCTTCTGCCCACTGCATGGTATTGGGTGGTAGGTTGGGGATGAGCTAAGGGAGGGGAGAAAGGATGAGAAAGAAGGTGAAAGGAAATGGAGGGCCCATCCCTATTTGGGTGGGGTGCACCTCATCTTTAATTTGTTTGGAGGACCCATTCATTATTTTTTCTGAGTAGGGTTACACTTTTTATTATAGGTAGAGGAAATGGATGGAGATAGAGACGGGTGGCTCAATATCATTTTTCACCTCTACAAATATCTGCTGTCACTCATGGGACACCCTGCAATAGTATAAGGACGACATGGGCTATGCTGACAAATTAATGTGACTTACCTGTTGGTGACGACGATGGTAGGAATGAGACTCCGGCATGTTTCAGTGTTCGACATCATCTCCTTCCCTGGTGTGTGCCAACCTTGGTAACACTTTTGTATTCTCCGTGAATAGTGGTAGTCACGGAGAATTAATTACTGGTGTGCCCATCAGTCTCACCGTCGTAGCCATGAACGTAGAAATATGGTCGTTGTAGTGCTTTTATTTACCGTTACACATCTCTCACCATGCTTAATAATATTAACTATCTTCATGACATTCTTATTGTTATCAGTGATTATGAATCCACGATGTTATGCTCCACCTACACAAAGCCTGTTACTAGACTAACCCCCACCTCCTCTATTCCCCCACACACACACTACAGTGGGCTACATCTGTTGGCCACCATAGCATTTCCAGTTGTTTCAACTTCAGAACTCAAGGCTATTCGAATCCTCACTGTGATTGGGTAGTGGACACGACTTTGGTGCACGATAGTTCTTATATAACATATCCCTCTTATTGAAGATTGTTGTCTTAGGTGGAAGACTTGGAATAATAAGATTACCAGTGTCGAATACAGTACTGTATACTGAGCTGTAGTGTCCCATCCCCTGAACAAGAAAAGTACTTTAGAGTAGTACAGTATTGAGGTGTTGTTAAGAATACTGTAGTTGTAGTACACCGTCAGCTTCATGTGTGTAGCCAGAAGGAGATAACTTCTTATAAAACAAAACGGATCTTTCAAGAAAAATACAGGAAAGCTGAGACATGACTACAGTACCCCTGTAAGGCAGTGTCACCCTTTGTTTGTAAGTGTAAAGAGTGGTCACCAGGGTAGGGTTGACTGCAGCAATCCTCAGCAGCTTAGAGGAAGTGTTATAAATACTTGCCATAGTGTTTTCTCCAATGTATTCCTGACATTGGGTACAAACTCACAAGATCAGTACTGTACAGGTATCCCTCATTTAATGATGGGGATGTCTTCCTGAAAACTGAATGTGAAGCAATATTATCACTAAACAAGGGATAACAAGGAATATTATCTGTTGAAATGGCATGTTGCCATTGTTACATGCAATGAAACTATAAAAGTTGTGGAATAATCATTACAAAACATTAATGTGACTTAGAAATTAAAGAAAATATAATAGAAAACTATGAAATAAATAAAATTAAGAGCATGAGTGTTTATGTATGGCAAGTGATTGTATGCGTGGTCTTGTGGAGGCTGTGGACTTGCTGTCTAGCCACCTAGTGGCACTTAGAGTGGGTGAAGCTGAATTGTGAGCTGTTATTGTTCAATTCATAATTTCAGGTAGATATACATAATTTTTTTTTCTGTTACATGCACACTCAATCGTTCATACTATTATTTATTATTATTATTATTATTATTTTTATTTATTCTTCACCTTTACTGGTATATTATACACAGAGTTGTAAAGTAACCAAATAAATTTACGAAGTATACTGTACTCAAGTACGTAACATTTTTGGGTATCTACTTTTAAAAAGTACTAAAAAAATTTAGTTCTTTTATTTTTACTTAAGTATGGTTTTCTAATACTTTACTACAAACCAATTGAAAAAAAAAATCGTTACCCATTACATGCTCCAAACAAACAGACGAAGAGTTTTAATGCCTGTGGCAATTAGTAATGTATTTTTAATTAATTAATCAATAATTAACCATAATAAAAGAGTTGTGTGGGTGGAGGGTATGGTATGGGTGGAACCGTGAAGATTAAGGTGTGGGTGTGGGGAGACAATGCAGTTACATACCTAGATGTCTCGTGAGGTGACATCAGGTCAGGTCATGTGGCAGTGGCCATGACAGTGGACTTCTCCTTTGATCTTCTTGTGTCCATTAGCACCTTGACCACTCAACTCACCCAGCCGACCCTCTTCTCCCCCCTCCCCCATCAAATCCCCACTCTTCTCCCCCACCTTTCCTTCAGGGGCTTAGTCTTTCTGTTAGACGTCAGTTGCTCTTTGCATGTACACTCACACGCCATAGTTTCGATGCACCCTCTACCCCTACTCCCGGCTCAAGGGAAGTCGTATTCAGGGCTGCAAACTGAACGGTCCCTCTTGTATAATGATGTTAAGCACTGTCTAGTGATGGTAAATAAAGTGTTGTGAAGTCACTAAAAAAAATGTATCGTGCATACTGTATATTCTCTCAAATATTACATCATAAACTGCTATTCGTACAATCCAGCGAAGCTTCGAGCTACCACATTGCACCACTGAATGATGGGTGGGGACGTTCGGTATGAAGCCAAGGCTACGACTTCCATCGAGTCAGGAGTAGGGGTAGAGGGTGCATCAAAACTAAGGTGCATGAGTGTACCTGTACCTAAAATGAATTTCCACGAGGCTGTGATTCTAAAATGCTTTACATAATTCCATCTTAGATATAAAGTAGGTATCTATATATACTATATGTGTGTGAGACAGAGTGTAATTAAAATTCTGCTTAAATAATTACAGTAAGTATCCCTCGCCAGCACCCGCCAGATGTTACATGGAGCAAGAAATTCAGCCACTCGCTAATTAAAATTGAAGAAGGACAGTTCACAGTGAGTCTTAGTCAGACTCATTCACTATGGAGGCAACAATCATCCACAAACTCCTCAACTGAAGGACCTTGATAGCTACTTGGAATGCCCAAGGGATAGATGGGAGCTACTGAGGTCTTTCTCAACATTATTTGACTTATCCCTCAAGCTTAACACCCCACTACCTGCATCTGCTGCTTGTGAGCATCTGTTTACTCATGTTGGGCTATTTATTTATTATTTAATTAATTTATTACACCCCAGGGAGAAACAAGCCTAGTCACATGACCATGCAGTCAGACACTAATACATTGGTACTCGTGTCTCACAGGACACGCTAGGACTTGTGATATGGAGACAATATTGATATGATTTAAGGACAATGGGAGTTAGCACCCACCAAAGTGTGGGTAGCATACAAGAATATCAGGAGGTCCCTGACAGTGGGACAGTCAGGCAATAGTGTTGAAGGGTGTTAGTGTTGGGACAATTACAGAGTTCACAGGAAGAGAAGTACAGGTCATCCTCCACCTCAGATACTTGCCAGATAGGTCTGTATCCTAACCTAATGTGAGCAGAGATAACATTGTGTCTGTGGACCATAAATCCACGTCGACGATACTTGTGTGGATAAGGAAGAAAGTGATCATAATGTTGGGTGGATATATTTTTAGCACATTCACTATTCCCGCAATGGATTGTTGGAAGAAGAGCGGCTGAATGTATTCTCTTTCGGTAGGTCATGCTGGGCTTATATTTAGGGCTAAAAAAGTTCTGATTGGACAGCCATAATTTTGAGAATCAGTTATTGATTAATCTTAATGGAAAGATTTGAAAATAAACATGTGCAATACCATGTGTCTTTTATATTTATCTTACTTAACTATTTATTTTAAATTACGTACTGTGGATTTATTTTAATATTTGAGTCAAATAATATTTTTTTATTGCTTTTTACTTTCAATGCTTGAGTATTTTAAGAATGAGATTCTTTTTTGTTTCTACTTGAGTCCATTGACATTTGGATACTTTCACTTCTACTTGAGTAACATTTTGTCAATGTAGCAATACTTTTACTTGAGTAACAAAGTCCAGTACTTTTTGCAACTCTGATTATACATGTGGCACAGTTTAGCTGGGCAGTCACCAAGCTGACTCAAAAGACATGTGTGGCTGCTGCTTGTATGCTGTGACATCACGTAGGGTGTGTATATGTGGGAAGTAATGTGTGTGGAGGCGGTCGGTTACTGGGCTATAACTGCATGACCAAGTCCCCTCCCAATGTGACTTCATGTCTTACACACAGCCAGTGCAGCAGCCACTGTCTGTGAGTCAACTGGGTGACTGCCTGAACTGAGTCATAATTCCCAGAGGATGGTTTGAGTGAGGAAGGGACTAATTTTTTTTCATAAAATATGTGCTTTTGTGTTCTATGATATGCTTTGTATAAATTTTATTATTTATCATAGCAATAAATATGGCAGCTCATCCCCATTTTGCGTGGTAATCAAAATTACGTTTCCAGCTGATTTGGGTGGAAATTTAATTTTTATGATTATTTCATTTTGGTGCTGGTTAGTTGACTCTGGCATTCTACTGTAAATTGAATTAATTTATTCTTTTGAGTTTTCTTTTTGATCCAAATAATATTGTTTCAGTCTTTCCAAGATGTAGGGATAATTTGTTGTCTCTGAGCCATTGTTTGCAGACTCCAATTCAGATGATAACTCTTTAGCTACAGTATATCATTTGGATCTTAACCTGATACTAAAGGACACTGTCATCAGCACAATACAAAAGTTTACAGTTAACACTAATGGACATGTTATTTACATAACACAGGGAGATCAATGGTCCTAGGATACTCCCTTGTGGAATTCCATAGGCTATTGTCATGGTTGTTGACTCGGTATTATTTGCAGTTGCAGTTTGTTTCCTGTTAAGATAAAATTTAATCCAGTGAATCAATTTAGAGGTTAAGGATTAACTTAGTGGTACAGTATTACGAAGCTTGATATAGAATATGCTTGAGGACCCAACTGGTACCTGACCATCGACCCGTGTTTCGCTGCTGCACGACCACTGCTCCACCCCTGTAACTCGATCTCCCAACTCGATGTTCCGGACCTCGAGTTATGGATCGTGGATACATTGGATGGCCCATAGCTTGGGCTCATGGTTAGGCTCTCCGGAGCTCCGTATCTGTGTTGTTCAGATCTCGAACGGAGTTGTAATGAAGCGGTGCACGAGGGAGGAGGGCAGAGCATTACGGGGCGGACGAGGGTGTGGAGCTAGTGGTCGGTGGTCGGCGGAGCCGGTTGTTGTTGAGAGCAAATTGTGTTACTCTGGCTTAGAATGTAATGTAAGTTCATAATATTTATGTACATTTCTATGAAGTAGGATTAGGGTGATTGTTATGGTATTGTTTTTTATTCATGTAACTGTTGTATGAGTGTGGCGATTGTTATTGTTTGATTATTGCTGGTTGTTGGTGTTTCTTGTCAATATATTGTACATTCCAACATTGCGTTTGCTACTCCTCTCCTATTGTGATGTAGAATGCCTGAGTAAGACTGAATAGTGCAGGAGCAATAGGCTAAACATGAGGTGGAATGTAAGTAAACAGAACGTTCGAGTCTGTGGGGGTCGGTTACCTCCCGGTTCCTGGTAAGGTGTCCAGCTCAGGAACATAAGTATGTAACAACAGTATATATTTTAAGTTAAAGATATGTGTAAGGGTAGATGGTGTAGTTTTTACACTGTAGAGGAATGAAGTGATCACCTCAAGAATAGACATCCCAGCACGTGGGATATAACACGATTCCATTGTCAATGGTTTAAGTGTAGTGTGGCTCGGGGTTATGCAATGTTTACAGTTCACGTTCGGCATCACATATTCAATTAATTCGTGTGTTTTGTTTGTGAAGTGTTTTTTGAGAGGTACTCTGTAAATTTATTTATTTTTTGCAAATTTAGCTGTTACCCATAAATACTGTATGAAAAGAATAAGTAAAAAGAATGTTTCGCAGTGAGGACTAATAACGGTTTACACCAGCGCTCTCTGTTTACATCATGTGATTGGTTGAATCGCGCGGTTTCTGTCGATTGCTCTGTGAAGTGTCCATGATTTTCAAGTTTTCTCCAATTTTGTTGTGTTAGCCATGAATATGGAAAGACAAGGTAAGAAGAATGTTTCCAAGAAGCATTCTGGTGATCGAATTGCCGGTTGTAAAGGTAATTTAAAGGCTTTAACACTATTGCCGGAACAAGCTTGATTGTTAGCAAATCTGTGAGATCACGGTCAAAGTAATATGCACTTAACCCTATTTTCTCCATAAGCCCTGTCATTTTTATTGCGCGAATATCTACAGCGCAATGTTTCACAAGAACGCAACTATCACGTTGTAGCACAAATGACCGTACTATACTCAAATGTACTAAATAATTACTAAATTTTTTATGTCTAGTGCAAACTATAGCATGTTTATATTCAAATTAATCACTGTCTTACAATAATTCCATTAATGTAAGTTATATTCTCCTCGGTTAATTCAGTGACATTTTATAAGCGAAAAACTGATAAGACACACTGGATTAATGTCCCCGCCGGCTGGTGACTACCTCACCTAACCTCACCCCCCACTCCTCCCCCTGCCTGGCTGTCAACACATCACCTCCCCCTTCCCAGGGGTGAAGGTAGTTTTAGGCTTAAAATTTTTATCTTATAAAATGTCACAGACTAAAGTTAGGAGAATATAATTTGCATTGCTGGAATTCTTGCAAGATAGCGAATAAGGGATTGTAAACCTGTATTACATTACAGTAGTGATTTATGAGTTCTAGTGTATCTGGGTAGACTCAGTCGGGGCAGGGGGAGGGCCAACATAAAGCAATGAAAACTAAGTTGAGAGAGCAAAGTGAAAGTGCTTGGAGAGTCAGACGAGAAGCGGGCGATGCGCGGCGCCAGTGAGACCACCCTCTCACTTCAGCTGATTGCTAGTAAACAGACCGTTTTGCATCCTGTAATTTTAGCTGTGTTGATTTATGAGTGTTTGTTTTAACATAATACTACAAAAAACAATGTTTTGTTTATTCTAGGAGATGGGCTGAGGTGTATCTGGGTTGACTCTCAGTCTTTTTAGTATTTTGTGTTTCTCTCAAGTACAAGTTGTACCTCTCTAGTCCAGCATTCTGTGGTCCGGAACGATTTTAGTTTGTCCGATACGTAGATAGGCAGCTTTTTTTTTCTTTCTTTTTTTTTTTTTTTTTTTGCACTTATCTGAATTATTATTATTATTATTATTACAGGAGTATTAAATTTTTGCCCCTCAGGCCCCAATGTGGGTCAGTGACCTATGCCCGGGTGGGCTAATCCCCGTAAAATAACAACAACAACAAAGCCGCGGGAAATTAAGGTTTGTTTACATCCGGCAGTTCGGCTGCTCTCTCTCTCTCTCTCTCTCTGCTTGTCTATACAGAGTACAACATTTAACCCTTCAATTATGTGAGCAGTAAATAAGTGTTGCTTTCATATTCTTATGTAGAGTAATGACGATATGTTTTCACATGTGCGCACTTACATACGCGAAGTCTCACTTATTTTTTACCATTTATGGTTAGCTACTTATATTGTTCCATTTATTAGCATTAAATAACATTACAGGTACTTCAAACAACCATATTTATTTTTTTTTCATTAATTTTACTACAGCTACAATCAGGGTCTTATTTTCTTCAGTTTTATATGTAGAACCAATCAGTCACTGTAAGCTTTTGTAAGCTTTAACATAAACAATGCCGGCAGCCGTTTCGTCTTCTCGTGTGTTTTAATATTCCACGCATTATTAATAAATTGTATTGTTAATTTTGCACACACAAACATTAATTCAATAAAAACAAATTCAGAAACATTAATTAAAATATATATGAACAGTAAATAAGTGTTGCTTTCATATTCTTATGTAAAGTAATGACGATATGTTTTCACATGTGCGCACTTACATACGCAATCTCTCTTTTTTCTTTACCATTATCGTTAGCTACTTCTATTGTTCCATTTATTAACATTAAATAACATTACTTAAATGAACCATATTAATTTTACTACAGCTACAATCAAAGTCTTATTTTCTTTTGTTTTATATGTAGAACCAGTCAGTCACTGGTTCTGTAATCAACGAAAACAATGCTGTGTCATTTCCTCGTGTGTTTTAATATTCTACGTATTATTAATGAATTGTATTGCTCATTTTGCACACATAAACATTAATTCAATAAAAAAGACATTCGGTAATAAACAATAATGAATCTTTTGTACATAAGAGAAATGACGCTGTTTACATGATTATGCACGTCGTCTGCACGTTGGCAGGCCGTTCAAACCCGTCAAAATTCAAGTTTCCGCCGTCAAAATTTTTATTAAATTTTTTTTGTGTTCCAATAAAATACGTTGAATTAAAAACTCGCGAAATTTGAGATGCTACAATACGACATTTAACCCTTCAATATGTCTTCAAAGAAACCATGATGCAGAGAAAGTGGTGCTAGTGCTTCCAAGCATAAGCACAAGTCACTATCTATCCAGGAAAAGTGTGAATTTCCATGGTCCGGCACCGGTCAGGTCCCAAGGTTGCCGGACTAGAGAGGTACAACCTGTACCAAACTTAATTATTCCATTGAAACAACACTTCGATTTAGTGCGAATTCGGTTTAAAGCGACCTCTTGGAACGTATCTCGTGCTATATCGACGTTCTACTGTAAAAAGCAATTGTTGGAAAATCTGAGAAAATGGTAAGAAAATAACTCCAATCTTTTCTGTTCCGGGCCTGGGAACAAAGGTTCCCAGCGTTATGAAAGATTACATGTTTAGCCACATCCTCACATGGGTGGTGCATGGGTGGGAAAACCAACCTCTTGGGTAATGCTGGATTTTTCTGCTCTGGGTCTATTTATAACATACGTAGTAATATATCCGTTAGCCGAAATCCCTCAAACATGGAACTCTCCGATAGCCGGAATGGAAATTTTCTTGGAAAATTGTTCCCTTACCGTATATCTCGGCTTATAAGACGGAATTTGAACATTAAAAAAATCTGCCCAAAGTTAGGGGGTCGTCTAAACCACCAAGTATAAAATTCTTACCTCTTAAATATTGTGGTTTAGTGTGTCAAGAGTGGTGATGGAAACATCGTAAGCCACTCACAAGGTCTTACCACTAATTATTTTATACTGAAACTTACGTTTGGCAAGCTGGATTCAAATTAAGATTACCGGTATATTAAAATAATAAAAATGTATTATAAACCTGTCTAACATACAGTAAAAGAGAATTATACCCCTGTAATAAACACAGCTATCATCACACACCCCTCCCCACGCCCCCCCTATTTGCCAGTGAGGAGACAAGAAGGGGAAAGTGACCGCGAGATTGGGCTATTTTTAGCCGTGGAGGTGGTCAGTAATGCATATCGGTATGTTTACTGATAATAATACTTAAAGTATCTCCAATAAATAATTAATTTAAAATTTATTTTTTTACAAGGAATATTCAGTAAATGACTGCATTAATTCTTGAAACTACTGACAGTTAAATACAGACGCTTAAGTGACGTCACTAGTGTTTACACTACACCAGCTGGTAACATTTGATGCCATTACTTGAAGTGAATTGGCCTTATTTTAAGTAACTAACCATAAATAAATACAAAAAGTAAAAAAAAAGATCAAAAGTGAGAAATAATATACTGTATGTATGTTGTGTTGTCAAAGTTAGAGGAACAATTCAAACTGCAATTGTGTGTAAATGAGGCAGAAAGTCAGGTCAGCGCTGAACCTGGGACTTGGTCACAATTTTCGTGATGCCATATGGCAGCAGGGTCTACCACTAGACAACACATTATGCTTCCAATATCTTACCAGGCGGTAGTATCTACCTGTTTGGTAGCTGCCTACTACCTACACAATTTTTAGTAATATTACTTTGATACATGATAAATTAGACAATGAAAATAAACATCAAATTTAATTACCAAGACGCTTCCCATTGGCAGCTGTAAGAAGAGGGGGAGATGGGCTATTTTTATCCCGTCTTTGTGTCTGAAGTGGCCAGGAATACCATATATTTACGGTATCTCCTATAAATAATTAATTTAAAATTTATTTTTTACATAGAATATTCAGTAAATGACTTTTAAATAAATAAACAAATAATTCGGTAAATCTATTTCAAGTAAATGGAAAATAAGCAAACAAATGTTATTTACCACCACCCCTTCCCTCTGGCTCAGGGTGAGATGGAGGGGAGATAAAGAAGGCTATTTATAGCCCGTCTTTGTGTCTGAAGTGACCAGTACTCTTATGCACCATAAATAATTCATTTAACATTTATTTTTTGTACATATATTTTGTTGTATATATATATATATGTATATATATATATATATATATATATATATATATATATATATATATATATATATATATATATATATATATATATATATATATATATATATATATATA